AAACAAACTCAAAACAGAACATAAACTTTTTCCTTCGTCTTCTTCTTTTTCGTTTTTTTTTTGTATTTTGTTGTGAAAAATATAAATGTATATTAAAACGATCTTAAAAGTCAAAAGATCATATTCACGAAAAAAAAAAGTGTCAAATTAACGTGTGTGCTTCACACACATTGGATAAAGATTGTCGATTTTTGCTTTGTTTTCTTGACTAGTCAAGTGTCTAATAGCTGTCCATTAGTTTGTTTCATGTCTTTACTCTCTTCATACGAGAGATTTTTATATTCGATAAGTCGATACACACAACACCTTTTTTTTTCTCCTCTTTACTTTCAATGTTTGTCTTATCATCTATATCGATGCGTAAGATCAATGGTGGTAAACAACATTGAAATATATTTATAAAGAAAAGTCAATGTATTTAAACTTCAATGATGAGTTCACTCTTTTGATCTTCTTCGTATAATTGATATTTCACACTAACAATTATTCGCTGAATGATATGACCATCACTATCTTACAGCTGCTACACATACATTGTTGTTTTCTTTTTTTCGCTTGTACAAGAAAAAAAATAATAATTTATAATTTGATCAGACCATAGAAATTTCTTTTTTCTATTTGCCTACGGCCCAAATACACCTTTTCGCTTCTTTTTTTCTTCTTCTTCTTCTTCTTCATTGACATATGTTAAACACGATGTTTAATACACTTTGAATGGCAACAGCAGTAGAAGAAGCAAACAAAAGAAGAAATACTGTTGAGTTGTACCATATTGAAATAAAATATGCTAATCAATCATAGTGATGCTGTAGAAAAAGTCAACACGCATATGCACCCCCACATACATCGACCCAACGAGCACATTATTATGAATAAAAATGAAGAAAAAAAAAAGAAAAACTCAAGTGTGATGATGAAGATGATCATAGGTCGTCATTGTTGTTCTTTTACTTCTGTTTGATGTTGATTGGCATGTTTCTTTTTCTCTTAACACGATAATTATAGAGTATCAGTGAACACGTCAAATATTTATCGATATTTGCTTTTTGAATAGACAAAATGAATAGTGATCTAACTCAACGTTGAGATGATGACGCCTGTTCGCGTGCTCTTCTGATAACCATCGGTCTATATCTGGTGCACGCCTCACTCTATCTCTCTCTCTCTCGTTCTTGCGCGCGCTTCTTGTCGCATATAAAAGTATTAGTTAGAAGGGCGAGTTTAATGATGGATATGTTCAATGAAGAGAGCGAATCTAGTACGAAAGACGATGAGTTGTGACACGCTCAAGTGATAACAATCATTGTCATTATTTCGTTCTCTTTTTCGACATAAGACAAAAAAAATATGAATATATATGAGAGTCGTTAAGGCGTTTTGATCGATGAGTATAATGATAAAAATGCTTGTTGACAATGTCTGAAACTTTTTTTTTTTTTTTTTTTTTCTTTTTTCTTCATATAGAAAAATTATTTAATATAAAGGGAATAAATTGTACGAAGACTCCCTCCCACTCCTTTTTTTTGTTCTTCTCTAGGTTACTTATCATAGCAATCATCGATCAATCGTTTCGATTAATGGCCGGCAGCAATTGAAAAGATTGCATCTCGGTTTTTTTTCTCTCTCTCTCTCCCTCTCTCTCTTACTCAAACTTGAATGTCTGTCTGTTTTCTGAAGAAGATGCAGGAATAACTAACAACAGCAAAAAAAAAAAAGAAAGAAGTTAGTCTGTTCCATGTCTCGTCTAGGGAAATCAACCAATCGACATGGCAAGTGGCCTTCCTTTATTTCTCTATATATATATAATATAAACATGCAAAATAACAAAACCCTATTCGTTTTTTCACCTGTCTGTCATTCAAATAAAAGAAAGAACAATTGAACTTCTAATCGGATTTAAGTTACCCGTGCATGTCAACAAACATTCGTTATATCTACACAAGTGTATATACGAGAAAGTGTACAGGTAAAAATTATACGCCTTTCTCATATCGTACACAAAGATGATGATGATGATGATTATGTTTTCTCTTTTATATATATGAATATGCGTATGCATACATATACATATATATATATATATATTAAACGACAGGTCTAATCGAGCACGAATCAAGAACGATAGTATGTCGTTAACGATTAATAGCGAATAAGATTTGTATAGAAAATAATCACTTTATACAATGAATATACAATCAAATCGATGAAGGTTAACTTTTGTCACCTTAAATACAATAACAATATGTTTTTTTTTTTCGGATTATCACACAATGAATAAGCAAAAGATATATATATATCTATACTACAATTGATAAAAAATTAAAATAAACTATCAAAAAATTTAATAAGTTATCGACATTAATATTACATTAATCGTATAGAGATAAAGTTCTTTTGTTAAAAAAAATTATTATTATTATTATTATTACTATTAGTTTTTATTTATAAACAAATAATAGTGAGTAGTAGTGCACATCACACATTGAATTTTGTCTTTTATATATGTCACTATTTTGATAATGTGTCAAACACTATATGATTGTGATTTGTGTTAATATGAAATGATAGTTGACTTTTTCATTTTATTGCTTTGATCTTAATGTTTAATTATTTACATTATGAATCTTGTAATTTGATGTTTATAAATAAGTACTTATATTCACATTTTATTAAATTGAAATAAGATGAATATATATTCATAGATTAGTTTAAAGACAAACATATTGTCGTTTTTTGTTTTTCTTCTATGTGTTGAATGTTTACACAGATTAACACACACAGAAAACAAAAATGAACATTTGTAAGTGTTGATAATGTTCTTAATACGATATGAAAGTGTATTGATTTGAAATTTAAACTAAAGGACTTGATTATTTATGAAGAGTATATCTAAAGTATGGAAATTATTGTATGTATGTATGTATATATATATACTTGAAAAGAATATCAAAGTTCTTATGGTTCATCATTAATCAATGAACATAGTTAACATAAAAATTTCAATAGATGAATATAAAAGAATTTCTATTTCTTGATTGAAATGTTTGTTATACTTGACATTCTCAATTGAAATTGATTTATAATGAATTATATAATATATCTTAATAAAGAAGATTTAGTATTATAATTTAGTCTATTAAAAGCAAAAACAAAAAAAGGATTAAAAAATAAATTACGATCTAGAACTGAAATTAGTTAGCTAAATGATTTCGAACTAAATGGTAATTTTCGTTATATTGTTCATAATTTTGTGCTCTTTCAAATGATACTGTTAAATCTAAACTCCCACAGCGCCTTCAAAAATTTGAAAACTATCATATTTGATTTTTTTTAAATACTATTTAGATTTGAGTTAGATAATCAGTATCACAGAAAAAAAAAATCAACAACAATATTTTGTTCATATAATTTTTGAGTAGTACTGTATATAATGATAGGAATGATTTAGCTATCTTGAAAATTTGAATGTACAATATTGTAAAAATTTTGTTGAGCTTAACAAAATGATTAGTATGAATTTCAGTGATTTGATAGTAATTCATCATAGTCAACGAAATTAAAGTATCAATCATTATTATCACATTGATAATTGTTTGCAACTTTTCTTTTCCTTTCTTTATCATCAAGATTAGAAATGAAACATGTAATTTATTGTTATTCAATCTGAATCATACTTGATTGAAACAACTCGAAATTTGTGTATTGAATGAGAATCGAACTATTCAATTTAATAAGTAAAACTTGAGTATTTACATTTGTATGTAAAAAAAAAAAAAACAAAATCAGAACAACTTAGTAATTTTTGAAAAAAAACATTTGAATAGCTAAAAGGATTCTTTCTTCGAATCGGTATACATAAAAACTTTAATAAAACTATTTGGAGTGAGAATGTTTAAAAAATCACGACCTCCAAAACCAGTTTTCTGGTAATCCATTTAAAGCTTTTTGAAAATGGTTTTATTTGATAGAGCAAAATGATATGTCTCAATTCTCTTCATTGAATTGCATTCAATTTATAGAAGACTCAAGAAGCATTTTTCTTTTGTTTTTATGAAATATTTCAATGATTTCTTCGTATTTGACGCCTTCTATAAACTGAATGCAGTTCGATGAAGAGAACCGAGACATATCATTTTACTCTATCAAATAAAACTATTTTGAAAGAACTTCAAATGGATTTTAGAAAACTAGTTTTGGAGATCTTGCTTTTCCTGACATTTTCATCTGAACAGTTTTATTGGAGTTTTTATGTGTATCGATTCCAAGAGAGAATTCTTTCAGCTACTCAAATATTTTGTCAAATTTTTTTCTAGTTACTTTCACTAAGAGAAAAACTCAAAAATACAACTACTCTATACTTATGTTCGCCATTATATGTATATTAGTTTGAAATCTCGTTGTTTATAATATGTGTGAATGATACAATATTATTTATCTAAGTTTTAAAAATCTTCATGCTGTTTTTGCAATCAAATTATATATCAAAATCTTTTCACTTAATGTTTAAATTCTTTTCCTCACATGCAGTTATTTATGATTAGTGAGATGTTAATTATCTGAAAAGAAAATTGATTATTTGAATTTTTAATTTCAAACAATAAAAACTTTTATTTGATTCATTTATCTTTAATCATGAAAAATATTTTATTTTATTTTATAATTAATATTATCAGTTATTAATAGTATCGATTGAGTATTATCAATCCATTCATCAGTTTCTTCCCATATATATATTAAACTTACAATCATAATAATAAATGTTAATGTTAAATCTAATATTAAAACAAATCGAATATAAAATATAATAGATCTAAATATTGGTCCACATGTTCTTATTACATTCCATTGATCTTTTTTCATTTCATTGTCTTCTATGATTTTTTTACATGAAGGAAATAAAATAAAATAATCTCTTTCATTAACTGAATCAAATAAAATTTCTTCTTGAATTCGACAACATTTATGATAATTTAATGTATTTGATAGTAAACTTGTATTTCGATCATTATTCATTATATTTACTGTTAATAAATTCATCACACGATAATATACATTAAACATATAAATAATATAAATAATAAATGTAGCAAAAGTCAATACAGGTAAGAAACCAATTAGAATATGTTTTAGTTTTCGATAATATCCACGATGATTATATATAAAAAAATTTATTATAGAACAAATTATATTCAACATTAATATAACAAAAAAAAGTTTCGACCAAGTTTGAATAATAAATAATGTACGTGTTAATAAACATGTTAACATAACAAAATACCATAAGAAAATTCTTATATATGTTAAAAATTTAATTAATGAAATATTTGACATTTAAAGAAAAATTATTGTAATAATACGGACGGATTATGTTGGATTAAATTCTAAAAAGAAAAACAAGATTATCTAATTTGTATAACTACTACTATCATGTATTGTGCAAAGTAGCGTATGGTGCACTGTTTTTTAAATAACTGTTGAGACGGAACATCATAGAAATCTACAGTTTTCACAATTTAAAAGAGAAGACTCAGAAGTTATCGAAGTATATCAAAATTTGATTAGTCGGCAATTAACCAATCAGGTAAGTTTTTGGTGAAGGTTTTTCAAAACGATATTTTGAAGCTGTTTTCTTTTCGATTCAGAATTTTAATAGAACTAATCGATAGAAAAAATTCTTTTCTTTCGATCTACGCAAGGCCATTGTCCCTAACTTGTTACATTTGAGAGTTATAAGACTTTTTTCTAAAGTTCCCGATTTCAGTCAATTGATCTATGTTTGCCCGGAATAGAAGCTAGACAGTGATAATGCACCATGCTGAATCGAATGATGATATTTGTGTTTAGATTCGAATCGATCTGACATTTTTATACCAATATTTCTGAAATGCCGACTGTTTCGTTAATGGAATCTGATTGTAAGATGTCAGAAATATTCAGATAACAGCGCTAGATCATTTCGAACCTAAAAACAAATATCATTATTCAACTGAGCATGGTGAATTATCCTTGCCTAGCTGCCTTTCCAGGTGATCACAGATCAATTGGCTGAAATCGAAGGTCTCAGAAAAAGACTTATCACTCTCAAATGTAATAAGTTAGGAATGCCAGCCTTGTGTCGATCGAAAGAGAAATGGTTTCAGAATATCGTTTTCAAAAATCTTCACCAAGAGCTCACCTGATTGGTTAATTGCTGACTAATTAAATTTTGATATACTTCGATAACTCTCAAATTTTCTCTCTTGCATGACGAAAACCGCAAATCTCAATGATACTCCTATCGAAAGTTATTTCAAAAAACAGTAGAACATATCATAGTTTGAGATGAACAGTAGTTAAAAATTAGAAAATGTGAAAGAAATCAGCAGTATAATAAAATAATGTTTCTTTTTTCAAATGTATATTTTTAGCAGTAAAAGCAGCATCTTACATACAAATATATGAAAAAATTTAATCAACATTTATAATGATGAATTATTTCTAAGGAAGTTAGTTATTAATATGAATAGAAGAAGAAAGTATTATTCAACTTACAGATGAGAATATTGTTCAGTTTTCGGATCAAAAATAACGAGAGAAATGCTTGAACCTGGACCAATTGTATCTAGAAAAAAATCATTTAAAAAAAATTTTATTCAAAATAGTAAAGAATAAAAGAATGAATTTTAACTAAACAATTGCAGATGATTTTTAATTTAAATCATTAAATTTTTCATTCGACTCGATATCAAAGAGTCTGTATTCCTATCTCATTTCTCCAACCTGCTAGATTCCAACAAGATTTTTTTGTCAATTTCTGGAAGGAGAAAACATAATGTTGTTCGGAACATATAAAAGAAGACTCATCGTAACTCCTTGATCGACCGAGGCAATACTATATTTTGTTCTTAGAATAGTGTCGAAAATCCTTGCCGAAATATGATTGGCTGAGAAAAGTTTTCTCCTAGCCAACCAAATTTCAGCAAAGGTTTTTTGCTATTCACTTATATCATTCCTCATAGCATTGCCTTAGCAAATCAGATCTTATCATATTTTTCTCTAAGTTGGCACAGGCGAAGTCATGCGGAATCTTGATTGACCGAAGAAATATCATGCGACGAGACTTCCTCGACTCGAAGAATTTTCTAGCTATAAATCTTTATGAAAAAGAATTTTCCTCACGACATAATCATAGTCATGAATTTTTTCTTACTCTTTATCTAGTAATGTAACAGTAACTTTCCTTCCACTATTTCAGTGGTCAGAATCATTTAATTAGCTGTTTCCTCGCGTGAAACAATAAAGAAATTTTGTGCCATATATTTTAGTAGAACGAAGATAACTATGATAGATTTTTAAAACTCTGGTTTTTCATAATTAATTGAAAATAAGCAAAGTTGAGAAATATTTTATGAAGCACGATCTAAAAGGAGTATTGAAGTATATAGAGTGGAAATTTTGACCCCCTTCCACAGATTGTGATAGACGATCTCGCAGCCTGTTACAGACGCCCTCCAGGCCTATCACAGATTGTAACAGAAGGCCCCAGATCCGTCACAAACGGCTCCTAGATCCATCATAGACCACGTCAGATGGGTTTCAGACGCATCACAGATCGTGACAAATCTTTTGATACACGATTAGTGATTCTATATCACTAGAATCTCATGCGAATATATCAACTGCTTTCTTATTGCAGTTTTAGAGGATCAAGTAAAAAATGATGAATAAATAAGTTTCAAGGTATATTGAGGAAAATAATATTCATGTGATTAGCAACAACAGCTACATCGTGTTCCATATTTTAATCCCACAGGGATTGTGCTAACAGCTTTGTTTTTTTAAGAAAATCAATCAAAATATTTATAAGAAGTTTTTAATATTAAATATGAAGTGCAGTTTTTGTTTGTTTTTGCTAGAGATGAATGTATCAAGATTAACATGCAATATTTTATATATTTTAGTAACAATTCGTACACAGAATACAAAATAGAATCGTTAGTAAAATGTAAATTAGAAATGTTGACAAATATTTCAAATAAGTCAAATTAAAATATTCAATTATAAATCCTTTTTTTTCATGCCACGACTTTTTTTTTTTCGTTGGTATTGATGTCTCGTGATTTCATAATCTATTTATAATAAAAAATTAATATAAATAATATTATGCATAGATTTATTTGTTTAGCATCTCTATTTAAATAATTAATGATTCATTGTTTTCTCTGAGAATGAATTTACTCAACTATGTCAATTTACTACAAATTGTTGTGTTCCTTTAAAATAAAGCTGAAATTATACTGTTTATAAAATCTATGAGATTTTTTACGTACTGGCTACAGATGGTTTAGGTATATCGGATATCATATCGATCGAAGGTGGAGGTATACCAGAATGTAAAGCACGTTTTACTGGTCCAAATGTCACCTCCCATGTATCTAAATTACCAATTTTCTGTGGAATATACAATGGAAAACGACAATAACCGAGAGTTTTTAGAGTAACAGCTAAAAAAATACAAGATTAAACTTTTCTAAAGAAAAACTATGTTTCATACTATCTAATCGTTGATGAATAAGAACAAGCGCTTGAATACGAGTAGGTATAAATGATTGACGAGTTTGTTGAATTGATATAATTAATTTTTCATTTGGTATATCAATTGTAATTTTCTGCCATTTATACATTGACTGTTGTTTTTCTTCTAAAAAACAATATTTCAATAAGATTACAAAAAAAAAAATAATTTTTACATACGAATAATAGGAACTGATTTTGTTGAAATAATTTTTAATATTTCTGTATCTTCATATACTTGAATTTCAACTATTAATGATTTATATTGAAATTCTTGTTGAAAATTTTGACTCTTAAATTAATAAAATTTTTATTAATTTAAATAAAATATTATCTATATGTGTACATACCATAGGTATAATTAAACTTAATGAAATATTTTTTATACCCATTGTTTCTAAATATGTTTTTTGTTTATTTGTAATAAATCGAGTATTATTTATTAATTTCGATGGATATAAACGTTGATTCATATCTGGAATATATTTTGGATCATTATTTTTAATAGCAAGATGAACAAAAGCTGTTTGAATATTTGATGTATATAGAAGATAAGGTTCATCCAAAAAAATTTTTCTCATATCATTATAATCTATTGCATACATAAAACGATTACGTAATAAATATAATATTGCTTTTATTGCATGTTTAATATAAATTCTATTCCATTTTATCATAAAAAATTGATCCCATAAATAAAGTACAGAATTACAATTAAGTATACCAACAAACATCTTATGAAAACAAAAAAGAGAAAGATTTATTTTAAATAATAAAATATAAATAAAACTTACTTGACTTATCCATTTTCGAAGAAATATAACTGGATCAGATATTAAATCATTTGTATATTGTATAGGATTACTAGTTTGTTTATTTTCTAATGATATAATTTCTTGAATGAAATCCTATATAAGAAAAAATTAAATTTTTTTTTTTTTCGTAAAACAAATAAAATAATGATTACTTTAGGATTAATTTTTTTACGTATATTTGATATTGATTTTAAATGTTGATAAAATTCTTGATCATTTATAGATAAATCAACCATTATTTCATTTGCTATTGAAAATATATTTGACCATTGAGGAAAACAATGACGAATAAATAAATTTAAATGCATTGCAATAACATAAAGTTCTTCATCTAGAGAAATAAATTTCAAGAAAAAAAATTAATTCTTTGGAAAATAAACAAATAAAATACTTTTATTTCCATCATTATTATTATTATTATAAGATAATTGAAATGGTAATAACCAATATATAAAATAAGATTTATAATCTTTTCTATATGTATAAAGAACATTTAAAATTTTTATTGTAAATCTTAAATGTTGTTCTTCAAGATATGGATGTAATGCATGAATTTTACTATATGTCTAAATTAATAAACAATAATAGTGCACAATATGTTCGTAGACTTTAGTGAGCAGCATTAAAGCTGAAGATGATGGTTTGGTTGTTTAAACCTTTGGTCTTGAGATACCGAATTTTTATCGAATAGTTTAACTGAAACTTGTGATGTTCCTCAGATCTCCATGAAAATCAAATTTCAAGAACTTGTACAAATAAGACATTCAATGATACTAGTTCACTGTGAAATAGAGCCGGTCGAATTGGTTTCGAATCCGATAGACTCTAGTCGTCTGAGAAACGTGTAGAGTGCACTAGTCAACAAATACAAAAAAAAAACGGAAAAAAAGTATCTTATATCTTCGGTGCGACCAGATCCGAGTCGGAAAATTTTGGACCCGACGAGTTCTACTATGAAAGTTCTACTGATTGTAGTGATTCCAAGGAGGAAAAAGCGAGACTTCAGTACTCCGCCGTATGAATGAAGTATAGTGAAGTACCAACACTTCACTCGTACTTGAGAGTACTGAAATCTCGCTTTGTTCTTCTTGAGTGATGCGCATGCGGAGATATCAGTATATGAAGAATAATTGTCTTTCTTTATTAGAAAGTTGTTATTATTCATATCTCAAAGTAGAACATAACAAAAATCAGTAAAATTTTCGCAATAAGCTAATGTCGGTTAAGAGCTGCATTTATATTAAGTTTCAAGTCGAAACTCAAACTTCGATTTTCATGGTGATCTCAGGAAGATCACAAGTTTCGATCAAAAAATTCAGTAAAAACTCAATATCTCAAGAATAAAGGTTCAGACAACTGAACTATCTCAGATTTTGATGCTGCTTACCATAGTCAATCATCCAAGCACAGGTTCGATCAAAAGACAATCGGACAGGAAAAATAACTTCTCAGAATTGTTATCTCTTTCAAATAATTAGATTGAAATAAAATTTTTAACACATGAAAAATGAGTATATAATCAACGATATTTCACTAATGAGAGAACATCTCAAAGTGTAACTTGTCAATCGAACTGATATTTTACCCATAAGTAGGTCTTCATATCCTGTCCTTTCCATTGGAGCGTTTTTATGGAGTTCGATTGACGAGTCATATTTTAAGATATTTTATTATTATTTTTTATTCAAACAAGAATAATTGAATTTATTGATCAGAATAGATATTATATTGATGATATTTTATCTATAATTTAACCTATACTATTTCATTCAAGTATATTTTACGTCCCATTACTTTTTCTATCCTTAGATAACCTTTGATACGCATCATTAACATATAAAATAAAATCTACTTACTTCAATAACAGCATTTTCAATAAGATTTGTTACTGGTGTATTTAATGGACTTTTTAATTTAAGCTCATTTTTTCCTCGTGTTACACCAGTAGCAAAATCTCGTCTTATTTGAAATTCAACAAAACTCTAATGAAGAAAAAATAAATATTTTTTTTTTCCTAAATGAAAGATAAACATACAAGATCATTATCAAATAGTTTTTTTTCAAATCGTAATAAACATTCTGTCCAAATAAATTGTCGAAGTATAATTGGTAATTGTTGACCAAATAATTTTTCTTTTATAAATATTACACGACGTAAATCACATTTAAGTAATGCAATAATAGATTTTGATATTATATCACTATATTGAGATGACATAGGATGAGAAGAAGCTGAAATCAATTCTAATCAAACAAAAAGAAAAAAGACAAATATTCGAAAATTATTGAAATTTAGTCATTTAGTTAAATAAAATAAAAAAAAGTATTCTCATTATAAATGAATAGTTACTGTGAAAAGCTACTGCAAAATTTTATATGAACTTCTTAGTTAGTTAACCGTAGAAGGATCGAAAAGTGTTTTAGATTGTATCGTTGAGATTTAACTCAATGGGCTTTATTAAATTCACTATCTTAAAATCAATAAAAACGATTTACTAATTAAAACTAAAAACACACACAACAAAAAAATATTTGTTTACTCATTTCATGTTTATTTGATAACACAGCTATTGCTGCAATCGAGAGTGTGACTGTGGCTATAAGTCTTTTCATAATTCACATCCATACCTTCTCTTTCGATCTTTCTACGGTACATCTCTCACTTCATAAGAATATTATCATTGTAACTTGTATTAGCTATTTGAGATGATTAGGATACTCATGCAAATTTGGAACAGTTAGAAATTTCTTTAATTTGATGTTTCAATCAAATTTGATCGAGAAAAAGATAGAATCTTTTATTAATAACATTGATTGATATAGAGAAGTTTAGTATTGAACTAAAAAAAAGAAATATTTTATTCAAGAACTACAAACCATTAATGATTGGTAATTTTTTTGAATTAGTTTGTGAATCTCGAAGAATCGAACGAAATTTTGAATGACTAAATAATTCATTTTGATTTTTTATCTTATTTCTTTCTTGTAATTTTTCTTCTTGTTTCATAATTTCTTCTTTATATTGTATTTGATATAAATAACGTTCAAATGATTTCGATACTATTTCATATGTATATTCAAGAAAATTTTTCATATCATTTGATAATTGATTAATACTAAAAAATTAAATATATAGTCCAGAACAAAAATAGTTGTCCTCCAGAAAGTGTTACTACTGAGCTGATATTTTGAATGAATGTATGGCAACAACAAGTCCCTAAACAGGGCTTATTGCCATATGCCAGCTCAATAGCAGCACTTTAGAGAGGGGACAGCTGCTGTTTTATATTATTTTAGGTTCTTTTTTTAATATTTACTCTTGATCTTCTGTTACAGCTATATAAAATTAAAAACAAAAAACATTATTATATATATTTAGAAAAATGAAATGTAAATTAATATATACTTGCTCCTATCTCAACTGCTGCTTTAAAGACTTGTATTTGTAGCCATGATTTTGCTTCATTTTCAAGTTTATGTCGATCTTCTTCAAGCATATAAGGTGGAATCTATAAAAAACAAAAACATTAAAAAAATCTATATTAAGAAAAAAGAAAAGAAAATACTAACTAATATATAAGGAATATCAGGTTCCGTGGGAAATAATTTCCATTGAAATTGTGTACCAAGTAATTCAATAAGTATTTGACGACGTTGACGATTATTAAATTGTTCACGTGCTCTATTTGCTACAATTGGTTCAAGATTATTGAGAATCTAATGAGATATATTTAAAATAAAATAGATTTCTTTTTTTTTTTGGATTCTTTGTTTTGTATAAACAACCTTTTGCCATGGACTATCAGATAAACATGTTTGTTGATAACTTGAATCAAGCCATTGAATATTAAATGGTAAATATTTTGAATTATTTGTTATTTTATTATTTTCATTATTAGTAATATTAGTATTAATCATGATTTTTTTATTTATTTATTTGAATTTGATGAAAAACAATATTTATATATCATATCAATATATTCATTTTCATGAATAACACTATTACTATGTGTTCGACATCGTGATATACAAATATCAAATGTTGTAGATAAATATGAAAGAAGTAAACTTGTTTTTAAATCTCGAGAACGAATATAATTTTGAAGATGAATACGCTAAAAGAAGAAAATAATCAATTGATTAGATAATTAAAAAAAAAACAAAATTCTAACATGATCAGGATTAAGACAACAAGATATACAATGTTCAAATAAACTACAACAATGAGTAGTTAATAAACAACTATCACAAATATATGGACCACGAATAGATGAAGATTGTATTTGACAACAACTATTTGTCTTTTCTAAATGACGACGTTCACAAAGATAACCTAAATACGAACAAAGTATATAACTATCACGCTATGTTCATATGATTATTAAGAGTTATTTAAACTGCAAGAAAAATAAAACTATGTTTTCTCTCTTTTCTTTTACGGAAAACTTTGAATATTTGATGAAGTTGTTAAGTGTTAGACTTCTATTGGTAATTTTCTGAACCAACAGCATTATTTCCAAGTTAAAATTGAAACTAACGGATACCTTTACTATCAACCACAACTGAGTGTTTGCCTTGAGCAAAATATTGACATTTCGATATGAATTTATTATCTAATAGAATAGCTTCTTCTAAATCGTTGAAATTTGTTTTAGGTGTTGGATGAATAAAATGATTGATAATTAATTTCTAAATAATTTAATTTCAAATATATTTTCTTTTAACAAATAAAAGAATCAATATATATATATATATATATATATATATCTCATACATATCTTTGCCACCAATGCCAAGCATAAATTCCAATAAGTATACATATCAAACAAATAATTAATAGGACACTTTGTTTAAAATGAATTCTCATTTAAAATATATATTTCTAAAGTTAAATAGATATTATCATTTCTTTGAGACATATTGCATTATTTAGTTTTTGGTTTTATTTATATAATGATGATCATAAAAGAATAAATAGATATATGTATATATATAATAGAGCACAGTGAGAAGACAAAAAAAAAAAAAGAAAAGATTGTTTGTTTGGTTTTTTTTCTCTATACACATAAACATATGCGCCAAAAAACGAGTGAGACAGAGAGACACTTATGGAATTACCGAAAAAAAAAAGTAGGGATATGGAATGGTAGAACGCTCACAAGAGAAGAACAGATTAAAGGATTGAAAAGTCACCGGAAAAATGAACATTTTCTATAAATTTTAAAGTAATTCGTCGACAATAGCATCATTAAAAGATAAATTAGCATATGCATGTTGTTGTGAATCATGTCCGGTGTTAATTGAAGATTTCTTTTTTCTATGACGTTTTCGTCTTGATGATGATGTTGTTAATTCTTCACTTGATGAATGTCCATCATTATTAATATGTTCAGAATGAAAATAATATTTATTATTTGTTGTTTTAAATGTACTAAAATTTGTTGCTAAACCAGCTGAACCAACGGGACGACGTGTAGGTGATAATTGTAATTGTTCTTTTAATGTTGAATCAACAATTGTTTGTGATGGAACAGTAAAATCAATTAATTGTGAATTTGATGATGAAGTTGATTGAGATGATGATGGTGATATTGTATTAGTTTTATTTGTTGTCATTATATTTTGTTGTTTAGGTGTTATTTTTGTTTTAAATGGTGCATTTATAAAAACATCTTTTGATATTGATGATTGATTATTTGGATTTGTTGTTGTTGTTGTTGTACTAGTTGTAGTAATATTACTACTACTACCGGGAGGATAAGATTCTGAATGTGGAATTTTTTGTTTTGATAAACTGAAATTATATATTGATGATGTTGAATCAGTTACTAAAATAGAATAAAAAAAAATGTTTACATCAATGCAAATTTGAAGTTTTATTTTTGATTAGTAATCTCTTATTCGTGTGTTCTTTTTTTCTTACATTATGGCGTACTTTTTTTTTTTTGTTCTCTTATATTTATGAATGATCAATATACAGAATCTCTGTCTTTACTCATGTTAACATAAAATATTTATTCTTTTACACTATTCTTATCAGATGTAATGTTTGAGTCACGTAAAAACCTTGACATATTTATATAAATGAGTACTAGATTATTTCTTATTTTTTTTTTCTTTACATGCTTAAATTTTACATAGATTGCAATTTATTCTGTTCATTATGATAATGACAAGAAAAACATATTTGTTTATAATAAAAGAAATTCTATAATGATTTATATTCTAATCGTCTTCTATTTCTATTGAAAATTTATTTCCGTCACATCAATTTCTAATAAAACAGAAAATACAAATGACATGAATCATAATAATTATTCAGTAGAAGAGAGAGCAAATAAGATATTCATGTCAAGAAAAAAAAAAATTGCGACGGAAATACTTGAATTATTTCATCAATTTTGAACTCAAACTAAAAGTACATCTTAATATGACTAATTAAACTCTAAAAGAATTCATGTTAATGAGCCTATGATTAAAAGTTACAAAACATTTTTACACAATCTTCAGCTTACAAGAAAAGGTCTTCAGTAATAAATTGCTTTTCAGTTGAGACTAAATTCAAATGAATGTTCATTGGACTTGGCATGAGATGTTACAATATCAATTTCTATAATATTCATGAGATCTGAATACTTCATCTCTTAGAAATTCGTAATCAGATGTTTAATTTATATTTCTATGAAAGGATGTATATGAACTCTTTAGGTACCTAACTCTGAAGTTCGAAGAAAATGAATGTCTGATCGGAATATTTTTTTATTATGACATTACACTCTATAAGTATAGAATAGACGCGATGAAGATATCAATGATAATAAACAAGACAGTGAGAGTAACATACAGTAGGATAAAAGCATTACTGAATGGGTCTTGATCATTCCGTGATAATTTCTATCATGATAATTAAAACATATCTCTTTTCACTTCTGAATTGTGTACAAGCTTTTATAATAAACTCGTTCAGCAAACTTATATCGGAATATGTAAAGTATAATTACAACACAAAAAAAAAGTTGCTTGCAATAGAAGCCTACTTTTAAACTATTGACTTGCAAAACAAATTACGTACTCATTAGGCTTTTCTTCTGTGAGAAGATTTAGTGTCCGGTATGTAGCAAAGTTTTCAGCCGAAACAGATTGTAGATATCGGATTCTTAGGTTCAATATTCAGTGACATAATTATAACTTTTGACATATAAAAGGTAGACTGAACGGTTTTAAGACTTCCTAAGTCTTACCGAATCCTATTTAATACATAAAATATCTGCTCGTAGATAACAAATCAATTGGAGTACCATCTTTATTAGTTCAAATATTTTAATCAAAAATATATACTGTAAAATAACGAGTACTGCAATTCCCAGGTTGCGTACGAAAAGTTATACTCATGCAGTACTCGACTGTAAAGTAATGCGATCTTTTTTTTTATTATTATAATTGTCTAGATGCATACAGATTTAACCTGATTAATGTATTGTATGTTGTTATATATTCAAGCGTATTCAATTAATCACTATCGATTAAAAGAAAAAACAAACATACTATAATTTTTTCTCTTTTATTACTCGAAATATGTGTTTTTTTTTTCAGTAAGATTTTAAGGACAATAAATCTTTCTGTTTGATATATATTCAATTATATCATTGATATTAATTTTTCCAGTAGATAACTAAAAAAACAAAATAAAATTTACCATTAGTAATAGAGTTTGGTTCTTGTCTATGATAAGGAGCAAATGCACTAAGTCTTTTTCCAACGACAATACCAATTGGATCAAATAAATTTATATTTGCAGTAGTTATTGTATCAGCCTGAGTAGTTAATAATGATGATTGTGTTACAGGTTTATGTGTTGGTGAACGATGAGAATAATGAAAAGGTGCATGAAGAAATGGATTATCATTATCAATAAAAGAAGAATTTGTTTGATTATTATGCTCATTTACAATACGTTTTGAATCATTAGATGGGTTTGTTTTTGAATTTGTTGTAAAGAGATTAAATAATTTTGTAGTTGGATCTAAATGAGTAAAAGAAATAATAAAAATAATTAAATTGAATTTGAAGAAATAATAAAAATAAAGAACTTAAAAGCCAAGGGTGTAAGAATCAAGAGAATATTAAATAGTGGCGAAAAGATTTTACTTTTGAATTTATTTTATTTTATGTTTTTTCTTAAAACCAAGTTATATTTGCTAGAAAATTTATTGATAAAATATTCAAATGATATTTGTTTTTTTAATATTTTTTATTGTTATTATAACTTACGAGAAGAAATTTTTGTTGTAGAACAGTTTATTTCATTATTATGATTACGATTATCATCATCATCATCAGAATTTTGAAAATGTTCATATTGTTGTTCTTTATGACGTGTTGTCATAAAACGACTACTTCCAACATTAGTTTTATTTGGATGTATTGCTTGAATAGGTGCATCATCATCAGAATCTTCATTGATAAGTTGATCAAATCCGACATTATTGCTATTATTATTATTGTCATCATCTTTTTCATCATCATCATCATCAGAATCAGTTTCATTGTCCGATTGATCATTCATAGAAATAGGATGTTCATTGGAAAGTGTCATAGAATCTTTACGTTTATAAGGTGTTGAAGATGCAGTAGGTTCGTCTTGTTGTTGTTGAAGAGAACAACGTTCAATTAAACGTTTAACAAGATTTTTATTCGTTGTACTAGGAGATGATATACTTTTGTCTGCTTCTTCTGTCGATGGATGATGACCGGAACGTAATGGTGTTATTTGTATTTGAGATTTTTTCTTGTTTTTCTAAAATAGAAAAATAATTGATATTTTTAATAAAATTTTTCAAAATTTTTCCGACAATGAAACAAAAAAAAAATTCTTCTTTCTTTTATGAAAATAAACATACCTTATTTATTTTATCATTATTTTCATTATCTTGTGATAATGATGAAGATGATTGTTCATCATCAGATTTTAATTGTGAATTAATAGTATATGTTTTAGCAAATAAACGATCATCTTCATTTAAAATAAGACTTTCTCGTGATTTAACATTTTCTGTTGAATGATTATGAACTTTTAATTTATTTAAATTTGTTGTTAATGCATCATCATCATCATCAGATGCTTCACCAATAAAAAGTACTGATTGTTCCGGTTGTTGTTTGACTGATGAATCAATTGAATGTCGACGATCAAATGATAAATTAGATTCAACAGAAGAGGCATGTAGAAAAGAAGGTGGATTATTAGTTGGACTCATTGTTTGAGATGCACTACGTCGATGTTGATGATGAATTGTCGATGAACTTGTTAATTGTGTATTACTTGATGAACAAGTAGAAGGTGGAGGAGGAAATAATTGTTGTTGAAAAACAAGACCAGATGATGAAGATAATGATGGTGGTGGTGATGGTCGTGCACGAGAAACATTTCGTTCAAGTGTTGATGTTATTTTTGGTGTTGTTGCTGTTGTTGTTGTTGTCATATTTGGAATATTAGTTAAACTAAGAGTATGACTTGGAAATTGTGAAAAATCATCGTCAAACATTAATTGAACGGCTGAACCTGATCGTTGATGAGAAGGTCGAACTTGAGTAGATACGGGTAGAGGGACTGGAATTAGAGTTGGTGGTGGTGGCGGAGCAACAACAGTTGTTGATTTTTGTGTTGTTTGATTAAAATTAATCAAAGAACCAGATGATGCTATAATACCACGTGGACGTTCACGGGGATTAACGGCTGTCCCAAGAGTAGATATTTCATCGGAAGTATTTGTTACTGTTGACTTCGCATTTACTGAAGCCATTGTCCGTTGATGACGAGATTCACTTTCTGTTAATGGCATTGGTACTGTATTTAAATCGGGAATTTTTGATTGATATCGATTTGAAATCGGACATTCGATACCAAGTAATTTATATGTTATATAAGAGACCTCAAATAAACAAAACAAAACCAATACATTTACAAATATTTAACAAATATGAGAATGTAAGAATATTAAGATGCATCTAGTCTACAGATGTGCGAGACCAGAACCTAATTAAAGAGAGATGAACCAAAAAATGTTAGACATTGACTACATAACTTAATAAATAAGTATTGAAGAATTTTTCAGATGTGATACGAATAAATTCTGAAATGATTTTCTCTAGGCCGAGATTATGATCGATATCACAAAAATTTGGTCCCACATATTTGTAGTCTAGTCTTAAGAAATATTCAAGATAAGAGATTTATTTATACCTGCCAAATATCTGGTCGTTTGTTAATATCTATTTCTAACATAAATCGAACGAATTTATTTAAATCTCGACTATAAACTTGTGACATATCATCTGGTATAATAAATGTTCCATTTTGTATAGCTAAAATACTATCACCAAATGGCATTGTATTAAACATAAGTTTATATAATAGACATCCCATTGCCCATATATCAACTTTTAATGTAATCGGTAAACGACTATATAGATCGATCATTTCTGGTGCACGATAAGATAATGTTGTATAACGTTGAATTTCTTCTTCAAGTTGTTGTATAATAGTTGTAGTTAATTGATTTGTTTGATATTGTTGATAATTATTTGTTGTTGATGATGGAAGCATAATAGCGGAACCAAAATCACATAGAACAAAAGATTGATGAGAATCAATAAGAATATTTTCTAATTTAATATCACGATGTAATATTGGTTGAGGACGACGATAATGTAATGCACTTACAGCATTACAAATATCAGCAAATATACGTAAAATTTGACGTTCATTTAATAGTATACCATTGATACGTTGTTCATTTAGACGAGTCTAAATCAAAAACGAGTCATTTTTAATAGAATTTCAAGCAACAAAGAAATTCAATATTACTCAATAGAAGGAAAAGAATAAAATTCTATTGAATTTTTAGATTTTTTTTTCATTTATTTGAATTTTATCATGAGCTTAAATTCAGTCAATAGAAAACGTTCTTATCTTAACTGACAAGATTATGTTAGGAATTAAAGAATTCAAGGAAATAAAGTAAATATAGAAATTCAAAAGAATTACACATTACTATGTCAGAGAAGGACATCTTTATCTTCACTGTTAAGACATTGTTAGAAATTAAAATGTTCGAGCAAATTAAATAAATATAACAATACAATTGAATTCTATTCTTTTTCTTGATTTTTTCAATTCATGGACAATAGATAGTGTTGTCTGATTCATAAATCTCGAGCTCTATTTAAGTCAACAAGCTAAATTAGAGCAATTTTATAGGAAAAAATCAGGATTTCTTTTTTAGAATTTATTTTATTATTTCTATACATTTATTCCTTAATGCAAGTTCTTATAAAATTTATTAATAACAAAATAAATAACGTCTAATATATTAAATTTAACTATAGATATTATTCTCATCCTTTTGATTTTCGTCGGTATCTCTTAATATTTGCATCGCTACAAATCAAACATTTTGTTAAAATTTCTGTTGAAGTTGATTAAGAAATATTATCTCTCTCATTTATTACTAAAACTTAAAGATAGATTTGAGTAAACTATTGAATACAACTCTCAAAATTATCATATACTTCTTTGAATATTACATATGCATAAATCTTCTCAAGCAGTTTTTCATGATTACAAATTAGTTCATAGAAATAAGGTTAATGACAATGTGCTTTAAAATCATTGTATCAAAAGAAAGCTGAAAATCTAACTAAGTATAAAGAAAAATAAAATTGAAAAAACACAAAAATTTTTAAAGTTACATTTAATTCTTTATCTCACGTAGACGTTTCAGAAGAACTACTGATAAAACAATTTTATGAATACAGTATTAGCTTGTCTAATATGCCAACAATTTATTCTGATTCATCCGAGTGTCCATATCTTTATGTAGAATCGTTTGATTGATATGACAACCGCGTGACAGAGAACGGGGTTTTGAGTGACATATTAACTTTTGATCTTTGTTTTTTTTGATGACGTTATTGAATTGACAAAAACAACATCAATCCCATGCTATTGTAGTAATAATAAAAAGAAAAAGGAAAAAGTGAACCGATAAAAATTAATGTCAAAAGAATAGATGTGTTTTTGACATATATTGTTAAATAAACATTTATTTTGCCTTGAGCTATGTAATTCATAATAAGTACTATTTCAACTTGTTATGAGTTGAAGGGTTTACACAGGATGATCTATAAGTAGTTTTACGATAAAAAATTTGAATATCTCTACTTTGTTTTATTTTATGAGCTTAATTTCTTTTTACATGATAGATAAGACTTTAGAGTTTTGTTTTTCAATAAAAATCACACCTTAAATCCATGTGCGCATACATTCGTCATTTGATGAATATATTTGATCATGTGATGCGCAATTGTTTTTTCTCTCTCGTTACCGATATAGATATACAATTTTTTTTTTGTTAAATATAATGAATTGAAAGCAAATATTACTTTGGCTATCCTTGTTGCCACTCGTTTTTATAAAGATTTTGAAGTATACTTCAATATCTTAAATATACTCAATGACTTGTAAGGTTATAAAGTTCTTATGAAAAAAAAACCGCTAAAATCTCGTCTATCACAGAAAAAATAAGAATCAGCACTATTAAATGAAATAGAGTGAAGATAATCAAATTTTTTATCGTTAAGTTACTTAGTGTGTGCATAGAAATTCCGAAAGATCTCTACAGAATGTAAGTAAAGACCATTTCGTGTTTCGAAAAATTCGAATTTTTTCATTTTTTCAAAATTATTGATTTTGTACGCCCGACATTTCAAAGGTGAAACGATGAAAAAAATGTTCTTACCGTTTTCAAATTCTATGCTTCTTTTATTTTCTACAACCGTTCTAAAAATGATCACTCTGATGACCAAACGTGTAGTAAAAGATTAATAGTTTGCTAAAGTTATGTTTTGTTTTAAAAATGAAAAGAGACAACATTCGTTGAACGATAGAGATAAATTTACAAAGAATTTCATGACGATTTAAAAATAATGAAAACGTTAGATATCAACGAAAAGCAAGAAATATCCTTGTACTATGATTCATCTGACATTATTAATAATTGCTTGTGTAAAATTAGCTATTTTGAAACGTCAATGAATTAAAAACGATTTAGAATTGATTATGAAATAATAAATAATAATATTTTTCTTTCTTAATTAAAAAAAAATGTTCTACAATTATTTTAGTAAAAATCTTCAAAATAGATTAAATATAATATAGAACACATCATAATCATATAGACAAAATTCTATGACGACTTATCAAGATAAAATCAGTGAAGTAGTATCGCTACGAGGACTGAAACTTTCATGTGATTTGAATGTCTCTCTCTCTCTCTCTTTTAATATAACTTACAACTAATGCTCCATTTGAACAATATTCAGTTAATAAAAGTATTTCATAAATAGCATCCTGTTCATTATCATCATCATCATCATCATCATCATCATCATTATTAGATAAAGGTTTTCGTTGTATATTTGATTGTGATGATAAACGTTGTATAGATGAATCAACATATTTAACAATATTTGTATGTGATGAAAATTCTTTTAATATAGATATTTCACGTTGACAAACAATTAAATCACGTTCATTATTAACATACATTCTTTTAAGTGCATAACGTTGTTGATTTAATGATCGAACAAGAAAAACAAATGCAAAACCACCTTGTCCAAGAATATCTTCAACAATAACTTGATATTGATTTATAGTTAACATTTTTCCTATATAAGACATTATATCAACATTTGTATTTGTTGAATTAATTGTTGATAATTGATTTAAATTATTATTATTCATAATTGGTTGATTTGATGATAATGATGATTGATTATAATTTGAACGGGTTGGCATGATGATTATTTTGTTTTTTTGTTGTTGTTAATGTATCGTTGATTAAATAACAAAAAAGAAAGTGCTAAAGACAAAAAAAAAATTGTTTCTAATCAACGAGCGGGCAGTGCTTAGATGAGCACGCTCGCACATTTTTAACATCTAGAACAAAATGATTATTTGTTTTTTTTTTTCTTGATTTTGTTTTTCTATACATTATTAATAAAGAAGAAAGAAGGAAAAAGAAAATTTTAATAACAAACAGAAACAAAAAACCAAAACGACTGTGAAATATACTAAATGAAAAATATTCATTCATTAGATGCTGTTCTTCCTTTTCTTAAGTCGTTTATATAATCAAGATGATTTATCACTTGTTTGTATTTGATCATCAGTCATCTTTAAATCATTATTTGTTTGATCAGCTATAATAGATTCTTCAACTAATTTACGAACTTTTGATTCATATAAACGACGATTTTCAACAAATAATTTAGCTGCTTCATTATTAGCTGGTGAATTCGGATTTGGATCATTTAATAATGAACGAATCGATGTTAATATAGCACATACATCATAAGTTGGACTCCAATTTCGTTGTAATATATCTAAACATATACTACCATCAGCATAAACTAAAATATTGATAAATAATATATGATCAAAAAAATGTTTAATTACAAAAATATTCTACATACCATTTGGATGAAACATTTTACATGTAAATCGAACATTAGGTGGTGTTAATGGATAAGTATCTATAATAAATAATTATGTTAGACAAAACAATTTTCTTTTACTCTTCTTTATAAAATACCTGCAAATTCCATTCTTAATGTAAACAATCCATCTTCATAACATGTATCAGCTGGTCCATCAATTAAAGCATTCCATACATGCATATCATTGTCAATAGGTGTTGCATTAATACCTTGAAGAAGACAAAAAAAAAAGATACAAGTAATAAATATAATTAATTCTTATTTCATTATTTGATATGATATAAATGAACCTGGTAATTCTTCGGAACGAATTTTTTGTAAATCTTTAAATAAACGTCTTTGACTGGTACTTGAAATTGACATAATAATTTGTAGTTTTGTATTAGATTAAATTTAATATTAATGCATCGATTTCTTTTTTGTTTTCTTTGGGTTTTTTTGTCTTACTCGTAAATTACAAAAATCTAGAAATATCCAAATGAGTATGATTTGTGTAGGTGAATAGAAAAGAAAAGAAAAAATAGTTCTAGTTGTAGGAAAAAAAAAATATGGCCGTATATATATAACCAGCTGACAAATGTCATTAGAGCAATGAACGAAAATAAGATTATATAACGAAACAGAGTTATGAAAAAAATAACATAAAAAACAAAAATTTATATTTGAAAAGAAAATTTTCTTGTTACAGGAAAGAATGTTGTTTATAAATTTAACAAAATAGAGATCGCCACGTATCTAGGTAAAAGATGAATGGAGAAAATGAGTCAAGCAATGAAAAATATGTAGAAATAAACAAATAAGCAAAGAATATGGTTTAGTTTATAAGTGTAGGGCGCTATCTATCCTTATTCACTTAAATTCTATTGGTTTATTGACTGCCATATTGTTTACAAGCTATCGCACATGAAAACAAGACATAGGAATAAAACAAAAAAAAAAATGTTCTTCTATTAAAAATTTTATTATTTTCAGATTTATTTGTTTAAATATATTTCTCAATTAGATATGTTGGCACGGGTCTTAAATTCAAATGCAACTACTACTATAGCCAAACGTATTCTAACAACAAATAATATTCGTATGATTGATTCTCATCGATATAAAAGTTATGGTAGTAGTGAAGTACAACATGGTAGTAGTCATCATGGTGAAGTTGATCATCATGGTCATCATGGTCATCATGATCCATATAAAATGATGTATGAACGTTTATGGCAAAATAAATCAACACTTGATTGGTTACCAAAACCAGAAGGTAGTTGGCAAGAAATTAATGAAAAACAACAAGCATATTATAATAAAATACTTATTACTGGTATTCTTGCTTTTACATTAGCATGTGCTTATTTTCGAGTAGTTGTAGTAGGTGATTCTGGTGCATTAACAAAACCACCATATCATCTTATTGGAAATGAAGATTTTCCTGGTTCAAAATATGAAGATGCTGTTGGAGCAAAACAAGAATAAAACTCTTTATATTATCCTCAAACGATAACGAATGTACATTCTCGTGTCGTTTATTTTCTTTGATCATACCCATCCTGTCCGTTTTCCTTTAATTACTTTTTTTTTTTTTGTTCTGTTTCTTTCTATATAAAGTAACAAAATATATAAAGTAGTGATATACATATATATAATTTTCTCTCGAATGAAATAATATTAAAGTAAATTTTTAAATCATTAGCAAGACTGATGATCAAGTCGGTAAGTACATGAAGAATCAAGAATAATAACTGATGTATTCGTACTGTTATCTTCTTTCAGCAAAGATATATCTGTATAAAATAGAAAAAACTGTTCATTACTGTAGGTTTCAGGTATATTCATTGATGTTAATGGCAATACTTGAAAGTACTGTCATAATTAGTACTCATGTATTGTTTACAAATAATACATTTAGTGTAATTAAGACATTCAAATGAGTATATAGGATAAAGAACACTTATTTGTGTATAAATATCATTGTTCGAATTATTATTTTCTTTCAGCAAAGCATTCGTCTATTTAAAGTTTTACAGAATATTGTATTTTATTCATTATCGAAAGAAAATAGACTATATTCTTTATTAAGTCAGAATTATTTATAAAATCGAATACATACTGTAAAATATCCAATTTTGTTTTTGCTAACATTATCATGTTTCTTTCAATGAAGATTTTTACTCATATTATTTTACATAGAGTCAATCGGAAAAAGAACTACGGAACGTCACTGATGAGAATTTTACTTTGATAATATTATGTTGAAATTAGACAAAAAAGGCTTCTCAATGCGGTCCCCTTGGAGTTAAAATGTGGAACTTATATGTGTTTTTTTTAGTTTCATTATCCTAATACAAAATACGTAAAGTAAAAAAGCTCTAGCAGATTATTGTTGTGTCCCTAAGGATAATACTCGATATTTTTTTAATTTGTGTTGTTACTATTCACTTGTTGTTTTTCATTTTTGTATTTCGGTTTTTTTCATTTGACAGTATTATTATTCTAACCATTGATTAAACTGACAAATAAACCTGGTATATATATTCATTATACCTACAGCACGTTTCAACGTACTATTACATATCTCTATAAGCTCACAAGCATTGATATTGATTATTTCTTAAAGATATTACTTGTTCAGCTCATACTTTTTATATTGATCATATAATGACTGTGACATATCAAAGCATCACTACACATCATTCTTGGTATCTTGAATATAAATTTTTTGTCTGTATAAAAATAAAAAATTACGCTATTTAGAACATTCATGAATGTATTCTAGCCATTCAGATTTTGATGAAGGCTTTGGACTATCCTAGAAAAGCCTAAGTCTTTTCGTTAATTTCGTTCAGTGCATTTTTCTGTTAGTAAGGAACTCTGAAAAAGAAATTTGACGCCTGTTGTCCTCGATTGTTATGACAACATACTTAATGATCGTTAAGCTGCCTTCTCCCCTTGTTATGTAGAAGGTAGCCACAAAATCTCGACTTTAAACTTACACTTATTATATTTTTTCTTCGAAAAACATAGTGTGAATTTCACAAAATGGATATTTTAAGATATGCACTCAATATTCCCAATATCGACATGAGATGTATTAATTTTTATTTGATCAGTGATCGGTACACTTTGTAAATCGGTTAAATGTTGAATCTTTTTTCATACAAAATGGAGTTCAATTGAGCTCAATAAAATAAAAAAAAATATTCCATATACTAAATGACAAATGTAATTACATCAGCTGTAAAACTGATAATCGTTCGACCTTCTTAAATGATTTGAAAAAAAGAAAACTCAAAATATTTATTTTTATTGATATAAATAAATAACGGGTTACCCATAATGGATGGCCAGTTTTTGTATTTCTTTTTTCCTTTTTATTATTTAGTGTGTTTATTTTAAAAACAAAATATATCATATGATGCAACGTGAAAAGCTCTACAACTTACAAAGCACAGTTCATTTTATATGTGTACGTTTTGTTTTCAAATTGGACTAATTTTTGTGTGACGAATTTTCGGCGCTGCAAACATAATCATTTTTTAGTAGAATGCGTTTGTGCTCCAAATCGACAAGAGAGATAAACCAAAAGGCTGAATATCTAAAAAGAATTATAGTGTGGTTAAGATCGTCTGAAAATGGCCCTTACATCTCCAATTATATTCACATTTGGTAAAACATTATCACATAAGGATTATATTGAAATTGTTCCTCCATATATGCAAACTGAAGGTCAGCGTCTACTTGGTGATGATTTTATCTACCAACAGGACAGCGCATATATATCAGGAGTCATTAGTATGATGTGAAAAGAATTTCATGCAATTCATAAACAACCACAGATGGTCACCAAACAGTCTCGATCCCAATGTTCTGGATTATTATGTATGAGACACTATTACCAATATTATATAATAGAATACATTTTCAACCGATGATTCATTAGTTGATGAAATAAGAAAAAAGGGACTCGTAGTCTACGAAAAAATTGTGTTTCTCGAAGCGTCGAAGGTTAATCATACAGAATTTTGTCCATTTTGAAAATAAAAGGTGTACATATAATATAAAGATTTTAATGTACCCTGTAGAGTTTTTCACGTTGCACCTTATGGTATATTGTGTTTTTAAAATAAACATACTAGATGCGAAAAAAAAGGAGTTCAAAAACTGGCCATACGTTCTGGATAACCTGTTAATTCAATACAAGAAGAAAATCATTTTTTTTCAATATCAATATCAATTTCTGTCTAAATGATCTTTCAACTTTTCTTTTTCAAAAAAATGTAACTAACTATTAATGACATTTGTGTGTAGTTTAAAGTATTTATTTTTTAGATAACTTCAGACTTTGATTAGAAAACTTCTATTTGCAAATATATTTCTAATTGTTTTATCAATGAGAAAGATACTCTTTATACAATTAATCATTTTCTTGTAACTAATGAAAATTTTAACAAAAAAAGAACAGATTATAGTTTAAGAACTTCATAGAAGTTGGTGTTCGTTTTTCTATGTATTGATTGCTTTTTATTCTCAAATTATTAAAATAAAATTCTCATTTTTCACTTTGATTTTATGAAATGGAAATCTATGTTGTTCAAAATATAACTCAATAAAAAGTATAAACCGAGTCATGACATATAGATATGGACAGGTGTTGAAAAAATAATTTGCGCCGTGTTTTCTTTCACCTTAATGTCTTTTTTGTTCTGTTGCTTGAAGTAAAAACATATATTACTATGATTATTTTTTTTTCTTTTTAGAGATCAATTTTCGATAGTTACATAAAAGGACAATCACAGAGAATTGTCATGTTTTTCGTTTTTTTTTAATAATTATGTTTTTCTTTTATTTACTATCATACAATTTTTGATGGTCTTTATTATGTTTATTATGATTGAAAAATACTTGTTATTTGTTACCTGTTAGATGTAAGTATTGACAAAAATGATGTAATTTTAGAAAAGAAAAAGATTCATCAACAAGAATGTCCTTATTTAGATGATAACTCGAAATGTGTCAGTCGAGTTGTTACAACAGTTCATCAACATTATTATATTACTAACACCTGTTTACAAAAAAAAAATGGCCATGGGTATTTTTTCAATAACTCAAGAATGGAAAGATCTACAGAGTTGCGATTTTCATCAGTCGAAAGAGGAGACATCGGAATGTCTTTCTCTTCAAATATTATGTCAGACAAAATCATTTTAAAATCAATCATTTCTGCAAAAAAATGCATGAAAACGGTCTGTGATTCTGATGAAATTTTAATTTTGATATGTGATTCAGATAGAGAGAGACTTTAGATCTATGGTTTAAGATGTAATTTGAATGATTATCTTCACATGTACTAATGTTAAGGTAATGAAATTGTCTATTTAGTTCTTCGTTAATTTTTAAGCAACTTTTTGTTAAAATTTGATCTAAAAAACCAGATCATTTTTGTATATTTTTCCGATGTTTTGTAAAAATGATTTCATCTTATATAATATTGGAGAAAACGATATTTACATATTTCTTCTTTCGACTGATGAAAGCCGCAAGTCAGTAGCTGCTTCCATTCTTGAATTATTGCAAAAATATCCATGACCATTATGTTTTTAAATAAGCATTAGTAATAGAGTAATCAGTTTATATTTTGAATGTAGATTTCATAAAAAATTTTAGTTGGTCATAAAATATAAAGTTAAGAAAAAGAAATCCTATAAAATAAATTGATGAAAAAATTTAAAATGTTGAAATTTTTACTTGAAATATTTGTGTAATGCTCAAGTAATAGAGGTTATAACCCTCTCCGCCGAAAAGCAGCTCGTCGAAAGACTCGTAGGATGCTTTAGACTGTTGTGAGCCATTTAATTCTTATATAGGCTTGTTCAGCATGAAGAGATCAACTCATTTTGTCCTCATCCTCACCTTTGAGATGCCTCTCGTAGCCAAAGAGTCCTTTCGGCGAAGAGCATATATACCGAAATAGATGACGTTTGTTTTTCATTTCTTCTGCAAATGAATAAATGGAATATATAGTTATAATGTTCATCATAGGCAATTAACCGTAATATAAAACAATTTGAAGCATAAAAATATGTGAAATAATATCTGTAGAGAGAAAAAAGTATGCACGAGTTCTTTTATTTTTATAAACATTTGTATATACAAAATTTTTCTTCTTAATTATATTCGCTACTCAATGAGTGGCTTCAGTTGTACATCAATGATTTAATTATATATTCGTTCTTCATTAATTTGAAGTAAATGAATGTTCGATCAATATTTATCTTTTTCAGATCAAAATAATAATTATTTTATTCAGAAAAAAGAATAAACTTTGTTTAACATTCGACATCTGACCTTCAAGGAAAAAACTCTTTAATTCAATATTGTCATCAAGGGTAAGAATGTTTTCGATTTGAGAGATGTTATTAGATTTTTTTCAAACCATGTAAAAATACATAGTTATTAATTATTGTCTAGTATAACTT